CAGCGATGATACTTAGCCACAGGTAACATCGTTTTTCCATGCTCACCGCTTTCTCAAAGCCACTGCTATGTGCCGCCCATAGACTTACCACCTGAGGCTGCCACAGATTCTCCTCCCACGTACCGCGGTCGCCGTGTGATAACGCCAGGATAGCCGGCCACAGGTAACATTCCTTGTCCATCCTGATTTCTCTTTCAGACCCTACCTAACGTACGTGCATTCGACGTCTTCTACCACAGCACCTTGTCCGGTCTTCCTTCGCCTTGCAGTTCCTACACGTTTCGCATTCCTTAGAGAACGGAGCAAAGGCCCTTTTCAGGGCTACCCCTGATTCCGTGTCTTGACGTCCCACAGCCCATAGGATGTATGCAAACTCCGCTATTTCCTTGCGGCGGACTACAAGCTCACGGGTTCCGTGGGTGGCTCCGTACTCTTCAGAAAAGATATGGTACATTTCATACATGAAGACGTGTATGAACGCTGCGGCCTATGCGAAAAATATGCTCCTCCAATAAGAACGTGGTAAGTTCACCCTCTGCAAACATTTTCAACCACCAGCATGCCGTTGTATCCGTCTATTATCAATAAACCCTGTTTCTGTATTGCACTCACACTAAGCAATGGTCCTCTGGATGCGCACTCTCCTCCTACCCTAGCCATATTTGATGAACCATCTTTCAGTATTCTCGATTGGTGTGTGATGAGCCTTCGGAACGCTCCCCAATTATACGAGAATATTTGCACATGGTTTGAGCGTTCTGTCTGCTCACCTGTCATATAATCATAAAGCAACTTCACGAGGGTTTGCCTACCTCAGTACAACGTAGCCAGGTACATCCGTCAGCATTATATGGTCAACATATTGCGCCAAACATTAACATCTCGTTCATGAGGTTGTGTTACTGCACTATGCAAGCACCTTAATTCTAGACATATATATCATTAACGTTAAATCCATTGTCTCTGCTGTTCACCTTAGTGAACGCAGAGACCTAGGTATCAGTCCCCTTTTGCTGGAAGGTTTACTTATTTCCATTTTCCCTACTTCACAAATACCAATGATGAATTCCGTCACCCTTAACGACGCCATAATCGTTACACCATTGACACCGTTTCCAGAAACAACTTTGCCGCATAGTACCTCCTCACTTCAGAAAAAACCGATTACGCACTTACAGGCTCACATACCATCAATCCATGCGAACTAACTTTCCCTTGCGTGATTAAAGGCTATCGAATTCACCAATAGTAAATGCGAACCCACCGATTATTCTTATAAAAATGGACGCAGTCCAAACTCATATATATATATATATGTGTGTATATACGTATATATATGTATGTATGTATATTATTCATCTGTGCCCCATGCTGAGGCTGAGGTTGCATTCTTGATGCTTCTTCACCGCAGTTGGGTTAAACCAACTTACACTTAAACTAGGTCTCTTTAAGCTGCATAAATGTCATTCCAGTTTATTTGATTAGTTTTGCCTACCTGAATATTCTTCTATTAGCTGGCTATGTCGCTTACGCTAATTGCGCTTATCTTCAGTAATTTCGTTGCGTTTGTAGCATTTTTGAGTAATTTGTGGACTTTTTTCCTTATCGCGGATTTATTGCCAACCAACTTGCTTCATATGCTAATTTGGCGAAGAGTTATGCCACCGTATCTGTATGCATTAGCCACAGGTAACATCGTTTTTCCATGCTCACCGCTTTTTCAAAGCCACTGCTATGTGCCGCCCATAAACTTACCACCTGAGGCTGCCACAGATTCTCCTCCCACGTACCGCGGTCGCCGTGTGATAACGCCAGGATAGCCGGCCACAAGTAACATTCCTTGTCCATCCTGATTTCTCTTTCAGACCCTACCTAACGTACGTGCATTCGACGTCTTCTACCACAGCACCTTGTCCGGTCTTCCTTCGCCTTGCAGTTCCTACACGTTTCGCATTCCTTAGAGAACGGAGCAAAGGCCCTTTTCAGGGCTACCCCTGATTCCGTGTCGTGACGTCCCACAGCCCAAGGGTGTATGCAAACTCCGCTATTTCCTTGCGGCGGACTACAAGCTCACGGGTTCCGTGGGTGGCTCCGTACTCTTCAGAAAAGATATGGTACATTTCATACATGAAGACGTGTATGAACGCTGCGGCCTATGCGAAAAATATGCTCCTCCAATAAGAACGTGGTAAGTTCACCCTCTGCAAACATTTTCAACCACCAGCATGCCGTTGTATCCGTCTATTATCAATAAACCCTGTTTCCGTATTGCACTCACACTAAGCAATGGTCCTCTGGGTGCGCACTTTCCTCCTACCGTAGCCATATTTGATGAACCATTATAAATGTTGTACTTTAGTGTTCTTTTTTGTACTGAAGTTATTGTGAAAACCCCTCTTATCCGAATGACGGCGACTGAAACACACCAGCTCATCCATCGTCACGTCTTTGTCACGAGATTTAGCTCGACCCAAACATGAAGCTTATTTCTCTATGCAGCGGCTTATCCAAATGTTCTTGTTTTTATCGTTATTCAAGCAGTAGGTATTTAGATGCATACGCCCATTTTTATTATACGTCGCCACCTATACAACCATTTATGAAAAGCCTCGTGCACAGAACGTAGTCTTATTTTCTCAAGCTTCATCCTAGAGCTTTTCTACTGTCCTTACCAAGCCTACTTGTGAGCACAACGGAAACCGCCAGTATTACGCACGACCGTTTCCTCGCACATTTCTATTTTTCTTCCTATTACTGTAGCTTCTTGTTGGCGCAATTTTAGTATGAAGCGTACTTTGTATGACTTGATTAACCACTTCTGTGTGATAAGATGTGGCGCTAAATATCCGTTTCGTGTCATGGGAGAACAACAAATGATAGGGACTACAATGAGACTAGAATTTGAAAATGGAACAATTTCATCGGTCTTCCAAGGGACGCTTGACAAACCACCATAAAACGCAGTAAAGCGATTTGGAAGTATTTGGAGGGAATTCGCTTTAGTCGGATCCATTCGAACGAATAACACACACCGGGAAATGTTTCTGGCCGGCCGTTTCGACCTGCCGGCGAAGCGCACCCTCTGATAATCCTACGGGACTTGAACACACGAGTCATCGCCACGAGTGGCGATGACGAAACGCAATGGCCGATTACTAGCCGCGATATAGCGCAACTTTTCCTTCACTGTCATGGACATTACAGACATGGGAAGAGTAGGGTTGGTTCCCGGAGCTACGACATCCATGCAGGAAACTTTTCTTGCTCTTCTTTCATCCGAGATTTTTCTCCAACTGCCACGTGGTAGGTCAAAGTACAGGTCAGCAGTACCATGGCTATCCGCATTATGTCGATAGCGCTGCGATTATCCTCACTGAATATTACCGCTGTGATCGATTCACAAAACTTTGCCATGAAACTATCCTTCCGCACTTGTTGAAGCCATTTGATACTGTATTATTGGAGTAATTGGAAATTTAAGATGATGCAGCTCCATTGCAATATGATCAAAAACGTTAGAAGCAAATTATGGCCTGTGAACACCGCGATCATTTTTGCAAGTTCTTACGTCGTATCCTAAGAACGTTTAAATCACCGTAAACCAGGACTCTATGATGTGATATCTGGGTAGTCGTTCTTGGAATCTAACCTTTGATAAATCCAACGATTGTTGGAACTGCTGCACTGTTTGCTTCCACACTACGCTCCGGCAAACTGTTCCAGATACTCGCTATTCCAAGCATAGGAGATGTGGAACGCTTTAGATCTGGTACCACAAGCTTGTGCTGATGTCTGCGTGTGTTGTAAGCTGATCGCAGCTGAAGCAGTGGCCTCAGCATGGGAAAGTCACCTAGATATGGAATGCGGTAGATCATGATGAGGTCGATTCGCAGATGACTATAGACCAGCCTCTCGCACCTGTCCTCGTACGGTAAGCCCCGCAAACTGGGGATGAGTTTGGTAGCGATATGTTGGACCCCTCAATCTTCTGCGCCTCCCCTCTACTGGTCGGGCAATAGGCGGAAGAACCGTATTCTAGCACTGGTCTTATGATGAAAAAGAATAGGTGAGTGAATCCTTTTCAAACCAGATGTAGAAGCTGCGTTTGAGCGCTCAGAGCGTGTATACTCCGTTTCGGTGTAGCCTGTTCGTGTTATTCACGAACTTCAAATCCCTACATGAGAGTACGCCTAGGTGCTTCACGGAAGGTGTAGGATAGGGCAATTGGTCGTCAAGAGTAGGTTCGGCCTTCACCATCCATCCCCAGACTCATGAATAACGAATTCAATGGGTTCGTAAGGCAGGCATCAGCAGTATGCCAGTACACCGTACGGACCCTGCACTTGCGCACAACCATCAGCAGTCGCGCTTGGGCTAATGATACTGCGAGGGTCGCCCTACGCAGGCTCGAACCGCTTACTTCCGGATTACAAGGCAGGCGTGTGATCCTTTCGGTCACTTGCCAATTAGGTTAACCGGGGGGCGGACTTCTACAGACCACATGAAAAGGCGGTTGAGATCTTGCTGAAGTAGGCCGCAGTCGTCGGAAGTGAACTGGAAAGCTCAATAACTTGATAACTAGATTGGTGGATAGACTGTTTCCTCCTACTTACATCCCAACCAAAACCACACTACGTGACAGCTCATATCTTAATGATGGGGGGTTGTTTAATGAGATGACACGATGAATGCGTGATGCCTATGAGGAAATCGTTTGGCCCCATGAGAGTTTCTCGCCACTAAACTAGCAGTAAAGTCATCAATACTCGTCGCTCACGCGTTATTACTGGTGATTAGGACACGCTACATTAATTGATTCATCTGAGATGTCCAGATACTCGGATATATAGACTTCGGCCACCGATTTTATCACGTAATTTTCGCCTAATATTTATCTCAGCCTAACCTGACTCGGCAGTACGTTTGTCGATTATTCGTGTTGTATTACTATGATCATGCCTCGCGTTGTCGGAATATAATATTTATTTATTTATCATGTAGGTGTCGCTGGTGGGCTCACTGCGCTCACAAAAATGCCCTCATGCAACATCCTCGTCCTTGGTGCTCAGAAACGTTTACTTTCAGGATTCAGTAATTCTTCTGTTTTACCCCACACTGGGTTCATATACAACGCCGATGTGGTCCAGAAGCTACCGCCGGATTTGCGCATGAAGGCCGCTCGCCTGTTAGCAAACAAGTTCGCCCTGGCTGCCCGAGTGGATTTGTTCCACGAAGCTACAGTAAGTTAACCAGCGCGCAGCCCTCATTAACGCGCGTCAAACGCCGTTCTTTCGTGAAGTGTTTGATCCACCTTCGTATCCATGCCCCTGACATCAGCATTTTTTTATGTAAGCCGGGATATGGTCCACGCTGCTATTGATAATGTATATTTTTTGGCTTACGAGACATACCGTTTACGTCCTGATCAAATTTTGTATAACATTTACAGTATATTCTAAATGCTAGGCAAAAATAAAATCGTGTTCTTAACATCTGTGCTTGTCTAGTTCAAAGCTCCGAATAAACAGGATAATTCGTGGCGTCCAGACGGAGAGCTCCGTTTACGGACGTAATTAAGTTTTTCTCTACTTGGGTAAAGGACGAAGAGCAATTGTGTGGTGATAAGAGGAATATTAAAACTTTTCATACTTAAAGAACATAGCATCTAATTTAGGCTAGAAATTATCTATACATTGTGGCGTTCTAAAAAGGAGTAGTGAAAGCCCGAGGTCTCAGTTTATTCAGTTCCAGCAGCTGTACATATAGGCCGAGACAGATAGAAGGGGAGATTTATTTGTTGTGCGTGTGGCGGACGTGGTTGGCATTTGTCGACGGCCTCAGGCGTTTTGGTTTCACTGAACGCTAGGCGCATGCGAATAATAGAAATAAAAAAGAATTTGGTATATAGGGATAAGATTTTTGAAACAGAATCGGTTAGATTCGCCTTGCTGCCGGACATGTTTACATGAGGGCAACATGGGACGCATAGACGAGTAAGAAAAGATCGAATGGTAAAAGTGAATGAAGATGGGTAGATTCAGTCAGCGTTTCCTTCCCAGCCCACACTTTTTAATGTGGTTTTAATTTATGCGTGTCGGAGTAAGCAGAATATGAAGACAAAAGTGGTTAGTTCATTCTCGGTTTTCAATTTCTCTGGTGTGTCTGTGAGGTATGCTTTTCCCCAGTAAAGAAGGAGAGTCGGGTAAAGAAGAATGAAGGAGGTTCTATTAGCTTTTCATCTTTTTTCAATGCACCTATTCAGGAGGGCCTGGCCAAGTAAGGAAACTATTGGCAGCACCCTTTTATGCAAACGTGTAATCAACACACGTCTCGGCCCCCTTCTCAAATGGCATTTTTTCTTTGCGATTTAGTTGCAAGTTTTTACGTTTTACAGTGTCAGGCAATTTGAAACTGCTCTTTTAAATGCTGGTTGTGATTCGCATGCTCTTATTTCAACAGAGAGGCGATTCCAGATTTCAATGCATCTAACTAGGTAGAATTTTCTTCGAACGTCAGTTTTCGTTTTGAATAACGGGAGTGTGTATTTGATATTTCCAGTTGCGTATCTACTTTGTTTGAAGTGAATTGTGATATGTGGTGCGAACATACGCTTATGGACCAAGTCAGATAGGAATGGTTATTCCAGCTTAATGCGTCTTAGCCACGGTGACTCCAGTTGTAGCATCTCACCGCGCTCGTAGTGAAGTCAAAGAGTGCCTCTTTGAATTATTGCTGCACGTTTTCTAGGCACGCGCGGTCGCATTTCCTGCCTCTTGTAAGAATAATCGAGCGATGCTCAGCACAGGGCGATTGTAGGCTTTAAACACGTGCGGTTTAGGTCCAGGCATCGAGAATGATTTTAAGATGAGTTTTGCACTTTTTCATGATTTGCCCGTTATGGATTCAACTTGCTCACCAAAATTCAGAGTGCTATAGTACCGTATGTTTTGCCTTTTTTCTGCCATTTAAATCCGTAGCGATTTCAAATTCCTTCTTAAGGAAATCATCTTTCTCCATAGGTCTTTCAAGATGGTCCGTAACGCCTTGCCTCCAACAGGTACAAACACTCCTAAAAATCACGCTCTGTTCGTTGAATGACCAAACTCAAATAGGCACGCCTTTTAACAGATGAGCACATAGGGTGGCATGATATTGTCTAATTTGGGGTTGGTTACTTAATGAACCGTAGCATTTAGAGGCATTCGTGCCCACTGTATGCAACTTGAAAGCGTTAAGGACCATCTTGAAGGATCTATAGAGGAACATGATTTCCTTAAGGAGGAATTTGAAAGCGTTATGGATCTAATTGCTAGGGAAATGCATAGATCACGTACAGTATTATTACAGAGAATAGGTTTACCACCAAGACAAAGTGCATTCAGCGGAAGTTCACAGGTATACGTCAACGCGCTGCATTTGTCGTCTGAAGACATTTGCCAGTCGGTGCATCACGATTAGAGGGCCAGCACGTCCATGCGAATGTTTAGTATCGGTAAACCACCGAATATCGAAAGTGTATAGTATTGTTATGTCATCCGCAACATATATGTTGTCCCAAATTTTTTCAGTTATACCATTGATGTACATTAGGAGAATTAAGCGATCCTCCACACTGCCTTGAATTACACCACGTTGGATCTTCGGTGGTGAAGATTTCATATGTCATATTTGTACCTGCTGCATGCGATCAGATAGGCAAGGAATCAGTGATCCCGAAATTTGTCTACTCTTCCAAGAGGTTGTGGTTCGGCACTCTGTTAAAGACCTGCATATCAGTAAGGAGAATGATGGCTACTTTGCGATTGTCACGAGCTTGTCAGATTGTTTAAAAAGGGTAGCTGACAAGTCTGGCATGAACGTCTCTGCAGAAACTTGTTGAGCAGGATTCGTGAAATTCAATAACAAGTGCATAATCGTTTTCTCTTTTACAATTCTTTCCGTTATTCTCGAAATAATCACTCTATGGCTAATTGGGCGGTAATCTTCAATGTCTAGTTTAGGCCATATATCCTGGCCGCCAAACGTTATTAGAGAAGTTGGTAAGCCATCAGGTCCAGCATGAGATGAAGACCGTAACCGATCAAAATGAGCTTGAATGACGCCGCAATCGAATTGCACTGTGCTCTGTTTGCCAACATCAGCAGGGGCGTTAAGCTTAAGTGTGCTACTTGAGGTAGTAAAGAAAGTGGAAAAGTGTTCATTCATGACGTTCCCTATTATGATGGGGTCCCTGGTCATGGATCTGTCAGGTATCACGATGCATGACACTGATTTGGCTTGATCGTTGTTTCTGGCCTTCAGTACTTTGATTAAGACTTCAGATTTATTGTCACATGCCAATGATCGCTTTTCCTCTGCTAGTAGCCTTGTGGCATGAACCCACTGCAACTGCTCAAAGGGCTTATCCTGTCTGATAAGCTTTCGCAGAAGGCATGTTTCTCGTGTAGTATTCGTGGAGGCCTTCCTATTGGATATGAAGACAGTGTTGGATATTTGTGTAAGTTTCGTTTGCTGCAACCTGTGGATCTCTCGTTTTTCGCAGCAGTATAACAAAGGTATCACAGTTTACATGCACATGAAAACTCTCTGCTAGTAGGCTTGTGTTACAAAGTGGGACGGAATCGAGTGCCGCGAAACTTAGTTAAGGGACTCTTGATCATTGCCTGCAAAGCGAGATAACACATCGACATACTTAGGGTGTCTCGGGTGCGGCACAGTAGCTGAGGTGTTCCCCACCTCTAGCTAACGTGTATGATGATGATGAGGGTGTCTCGGGTAAAAATGAAATCTAGAATGTTATTTTCCCTTGTAGGTGTACGGACCGCTTGTGTACATCCTTGGACCCGGACTTCAGAAACGAAGCTCAACAGCCTAGATGGTGCTGTTTACCCATGAAATCTATGGTAAATTAAAGTCACCTCCGATTATCTTCTGATTGAAGGACAGTTCAGAAGCACAATCAAAAGCAGAATTGAGGGTGCTAAAAGTAAGGTATCATAACGAGGTGGATTGTAAATACATCCAACTGAAACTAGGGAGCAACTCATTCTTGCGGAGATCCATACGGATTTATTTATGATACTGAGCAGAGCGTCTACTATTATTTGAGTACGTAGCTGGTCCCGAGCATAAATAGCACACTTGCCGCCCCTTACCAACCTGTCGGCTGTTCATGAATGTGGAGGTTATGCCAGGTTTCAGATGACATAGAGCATACATTCTATTATTTATGGATGGAGCATTAATGGGAAGCACGTTGACAGTGCCTTGTTCGTGAGGCGGATTTAGGACTTCACTGAGAAGTAGATGTATGGCATTGCTGCTGCATGCATCGGTAGCCATGGTGGAGGAAACCTCGGGGTACTGGGGCCACCGTAAAACTGGGATAATTGTGCTAAATTTGGAAACTAGTTGACTGTACTGTACTGCTAGCTACCGTTGGAATGACATTCCCTACTTTAAAGTTATGCAAGTTGATGCTAAGGAGCCTACTCCCACGTAGATGATATTACCGATGTATCCTCACCCACGGAGCGACCAGCGTGTTCCAACGAATGATTGGAGGGTCATTTTGAAGTACACTTTGTGCGATGAATGGATTGCGACGCGCAATCTCAATGTGGACTGCGATTCCCATTAAAGCGACCCTTGGTCAAATCGGTCACTGTGACCGTAACTGAGGAGGAGGCAGTTAGATATTGGGTATTGTCCGCCCCAAAAGCGCTGCACTCCATGACGCGTTTAGAGGTTATTTGATCTCATCCGATAGAGTAATCGAACCCGAGACTATTGGGACCTCTACTCCTAAGCCATCGGGTCACGACAGGTAATGCGTGACGCAACGGTCGAAACGCGTAACACCCACCTTCCTTCTGCTTCCTCCGTTGTTACTGTCCTAGTGATCGGATTGCCCAACACTCACTTCATTGCGAGTCACAGTACACATTGGGATTGCGCGTTGCTATCCAATCACACAACCCGTAATTAAAAATGACTCTCCGACCAGTCATTATCCGTTGCGGCAAGAGTTGCTTGTCGTGACCCGGTAGCTAAAAGGTTAGAGGTCCAAACTAACATCCCAGTGGTCCAGAGTTCCCAGCCTGCTATCTCTACCGGACCATATCAAATAAAGTAGAAACGTGTCGTGAAGTGCAGTGTTTTCGAATGAACTAAAAATGCTCACAAACCCGGCGATCATGCAGTGCAGAAACTGGCCATCGCGATGGTGGCACCTGCCACCTTTGCGCAATCAAGTATACGACGCCTACCGACTATCTTTCCTTACGATATTCCACACGAGGACCACGTGAACTTCGGAGCTTGATCAATTAACCTCTTATCCCCTTCAATCCCCTTTAGGATGGACGCATCGGTGAGAAGCTAATGCTAGAAGTGGAAAGGAAGTTTGACAAATGGCTCGAACCTCCTCCCGTGAAAACCGTCAAAGCTTTGCCAGCTCCAATCGATCCTCCCGCAAAGTGAGTCGCTCTTAAAGGCTCAACCGCGTTATCTTAACTCATCAATAAATAAACCGAATTCCCTTGGCGTATCGGTCTGCACCTCACAAACAGAAATAATATCTCTTTTATGTCTTTCCAGTAACTTATCCGGTAGGTAATAGGGTGGTGCATCAGCTTTCGTGTAACTGTCAAGTTATTCACTTGTTTATTGCTGTTAGCCTAGAATAAGCGGTCTTATCACATTCGACTACTGCAGTACGCCAATCTCCGACACCCAACTTTCCACGGACTATAAAATGAGCATGCATCAGACTTTGACCTTTAGGACATTCAAATGAGTATCGAGAAGTACGCTTACAACGGTTTCGTTGGTTAAGCTACTTTTGACGCGTTAAAGAGACTACGATGCTCCGGCCGTTATGATACCATCTTATAATGGCCTCATGGGAGTTTTGAACGAATCCGCGACATATTTGTTCTCGAGGCCGAATACAGGTCATTTCAGAGTTTACTATCGACTGGGGGCCTCAGACGAAGAAAGTATCGCTTAGACAAGCCTTGTGATCGGGATTATATGCTACTATCGTTGCTTTGGCAAATACTGCTCGGAGCAGCATTCCATGTCGGAACGCGAAACACATCAGAATATCCTGTGAATAGGAAAATGGATTTTGATAAAAAATGGCAAACTGCGTTACGTTACCTTCCTATGTCCCACGCTTTATAAATGTGTTTATTCTCGATTTTGACGAAACACATAAATCGGTCGTTATGGCTATGATATCATACCGGATAGAAATAGTTTCAAAATCTTGCAACCGCTACACGCGTTGTGGCCAGTGACCGATTTCTACATGCGGAACGCGCGCGGCTATAATAGGTCAGACAGTTTTGTCGTTTGATTGATGTTCCCGATTAAGGAACTCGTTTCATTTGCATTGCAAATAATGGTAGCTCTGTACTGATACACAAGGCGTAGCTTCATGCACCAACTAGATACCGCGGTAGAATGAAGACGCGATTTCCATGAACCATGGAGCTTTCTTAAATCATATGAATTCGAGGAAACAATGATGTCAAAGGAATTGATGAGCGACCTGTCATAAGATACTACCAACTAACACGGAAATATGAGCTCACATTTCAAGCCCACCTTCAATATATATATATATATATATATATATATATATATATATATATATATATATATATATATATATATATATATATATATATATACCTTCAAATTAACCGCCAGACGTTGTAAGAGGGAATGCTACATTTCACGAGCACGCATTTCCCGTTTGGATGCTTGATTAGTAGCTAAGAAAGTCGATTTGGCCAAAATCTCGCGCATGATATGCTTATCAGAATGTTCCGGAATCCTGGTAAGTTTACCGACAAATGGTAGCCGTCCATGCACCCGAATAGACGGAATGTCTGTTTTAGATTGGTCACTCATTCAACATGACCGTTCGGTAGATTTTGTTGCATCCCCTAGTGCTCGGTACACAGCGCAAAGCAGAATCCTTCCCAACAACTCAGTGGGACCATGCACAATTTTTCCATTTCAGGAAACGAGGCGGCAAGCGTTATCGCAAGTTGAAAGAGCGTCTCGGTATGTCCGAACTTCGTCGCTCCGCTAACAGAATGCAGTTTGGTGAAATCAGTGACGATGCTTATCAAAGCGATCTCGGATTTTCCCTGGGTTCCCTTGGTCAGCGTGGTATTGCCGGTCGATTGCGAGCTCCACAAGCAGACTCTAAAACCAAAGCCCGTGTAAGCAAAGCGCTTCAGCAGAAATTGTCTCGATTCGGAGGGATGTCGACTATGCCAACAACGGCACTGGGTGCCACCACATGGGGAGGCAGCTCCACAGTCCGAAAACAAGTTGCTGGTACTTCTTCGTCAATCGCATTCACTCCATTGCAGGTAAGACATTTATGGGACGACGCTACATCACACGTCGCTTTGCATTAGGTTTTCGTGGGCCAGAGCACTTTTGTTCACGCGTTGACGTAAGCTGTTGCGTAAGAGTGTCGAATCCGACGGCACTCTCTAGCATTCACAGATCGGTTTTTTGCGTCTACTCACAATGTACTCTATTCATAACATTAGGATAATCTACGCTTATATTAATTTATAATAGACTTCGCTAAGCAACAAACTTTGCCCATTTTCCAATATGAATGTTACTCCTTTTCTACACCTAACAGGGTCTGGAGATAGTCAACCCGCAGGCGGCTGAAAGAACAGTGGATGCAGGAAACAAATACTTCAGCAGTACCTCCGGATTCGCCAAAATCCAATCACAGACACCAAAGTCGAACCCGGTCGGTTAATGTTCCGGTCATGTACCCTATCTTATTCTGTACAAAGTTCTCACTACGTAAACTCCTTCCCTTTTCTGTAGACAAGTCTCGGGGAAGGCTTCATTGGATGCCACTCATGTAGTAGTCATTCAAACGGACGAGTGTTCCGTATTATTTTTACCAAGGCACAAGTTGTCGTTACTGACCTTAATGTGGTCAAGAAGGTTGACCTAGACGGTACATGCATCTTCGTGTTTCCGTACATTGTCATAGATGATGGATACTTTTACGGATGAACGCGGTCGTGTATAACTTTGCTGCTAGATAACGTTAACATTTCACTTGATTAGATGAGTTTTTTGAAGTCCTCCGAACGGGCGCATAACGCTGCCACTTGTTGAATACTGTAATTTAGTACGAGACTGTGTGGCACTGATGGCTTATCTTTGAAATCCACATTGGCGCAATACCCGAGTGCCGGTCGTTGAACTGACATTAGAATCGCAGTTTTATCTACCAATGATCTCTCTAAGAGAGGTAGGTCCAATTGGGCTGTTATATCTTAACCTAATCCCCGCAAGTGCAAGTGGGGATGCTCGCAAACTTGGACATTTCTGTCCTGTTTTATTTCACCATCTATGCCCTTAACAATGCAATCCAGTGGATTCAGTTGTCTTAGCCAGTGTCGCTGCGCAGAAATAACGCGAATGAATTCGTCGGACTGAAGTTTTGGCAACTGAGAGGGCGACCGTAGACAAAGATTGAAAAATTATTGCGATATGGCTCAGAATTAATACGGCTGCTTGACCCGTTTGACCATTTCGAGTGAATGTTCGGTGATAGGGAAAACTATGAACGGTTTGAACTTTTACTGTGGGAACTACGCGATGATGGAAGCTACATTTCTTTGGGAGCTGGGTCAATGTACTGCGAGTTTGCAAGTTGACTACCTAAGACCCAATGCAAGTCTCTTGACGATGTCTCCGAATTTATTTTCAAATCTCCAGTGGGATGTCTTATATAGGAAAGTGCATTTACATTGCTCGACGAGTCCTGACAAGAAGTTCACTTGCGTGATGAGTCGATTGTTACTCCGAGCCAGCGTGCAAGCGCCAATCGGCATACGCGCACGGGCATCAGCAATACGTTGTCACAAAGTACCGACGCTTCGCTGTTACGCGTGAGCTCTGGGTATGCTGTGAATTCGCCCAAACCTACGCGTAGTCCCTTCTGGTGCAGTGCGCACTGATTTTGCCGGTGAAATTCCCATTGTAAAAACAGCAACAAAAGATAAGGGACAGGTCATATACATATATCAAAATTTGAAAATAGCAGCTTAAGGAACAGATCTGAAGAACAACAAATGCAGCTGGCGCGTTTATCCTTCCGCAGTTGTCCTCGGAACTAGCCTCTCAAGTCGATGCTTCATGACTTGGATAAATAGTCGTTCATTCGGGTTCAAATAGGACGCCTTGGGGGAAGGAGAAAAATGCATCATTTTACTATGTGGTGCTCCGCTCAAGCAACGTAAATGTACGGTTTACTCGGAAACCAAGCCGTTTCGGATATCACACCACACGTGTTTAAGCGAAGTACAAACTATGACAGGAAGTCATGCCACATCAGGTTGGGTCAAAAAATAAATGCTATAATTAAAGACACAAGATTTGTTCTTTTGTTGCATACACATATAGTCTGAGAACATTGATCATTGGAGTTGGGAATAGGCGCCAATCTGCTAGCTTACCTCGGATAAACGGGCTAAACCAGTCATGACTTCCGGTTTGAGAAGAGAGGGCAAGCGTTGCTTGATTGTTGACCGATCAGGTTTCAATTCGGCCTTTTGGCCATCAGTAAGATCCGTACGACGAGGGCTCTTGGTCGATAGTGCTCCTGCAAGTGAGTCACTTCCTAATCGGCGAATGGACAATGACTGTGGTACGACCGGTGTAAGAGTCTGTTTTGTGGGGCTCTCGACACTATTCATGTAATAATCCATGTAGCGCCATATAATATATGCGATCTTCTGGCACATTGCTGAGAGAGAAAAGTGCATCGTTTTAATAAAGAAGCGACTGTAAGCGAGGTACACTTAATTGTGTGGAAGTCAAAAGGCAACGCAAAAAACGACAGCCAGCTGGTAGTTGTGTTAGGGTTGCAAAAAGTCGTTCGTTGCATGTGGCAGGTTACACGCACAATTTCAACAATGTGTAACTACAATCGGCCTATCAATTATGGCTAAAACGCGTGTGCACCCCCCTTTCAACTGTCAGCACTGATTCAGCCGTTCCATTCAGGCCCGAAATCACCATAGATCATCTCAAAGTAGTTCAACACAGTACACTTATTTAAAACCCTTAAACAAGACCTGGGGCCGGATTTGATTTCGATTGTATTACAGTTCAAAATGACTGGGGAAATTAAATTATGAAATGCCATGTTTAAGTTCGATCATCAAGTCAACACCGGAGCGGCATTCGCGCGACTGAAACCGCTCCATAAAATGGCCACGGGATAGTCAGGTGGATCTCAAAACTTGAATATCCAATGACGCCTAGAATATACACTGATTTTACTCATCTCGCTATGTGTTGTCAGCTAGTGCTGCACCCAGGTGTCTGAAATCACAGGGTGATAAACCGGGAAAATGGCAAGAAGAAATCAGGGAGCTTGGTCAGGCTGATGTGTATTGCGTTCTCGGATGGGACGTTTGGACCGCTCATATCAATAGTTAATGGACCCAGTTGGATAAGTTTCATGATGTTTCTGCTTTCGGTCTCTTGTGCCGAGCTGTTTAACAGTATCTTACCACTTGTGTTTTCTCTTGACCCCTCTGACTTCCCTCATCATTGCTAATTGTCGTTATCATGGCGATGCGAGCCCGCATATTCATACCACTCGCATTTCGGTGTTCGCAGCATAGTAGTATGAATGAACTGAACATTTCAAGATTGAGCCGGGGATCGAGAGATAAAGCCTATGGAGCAAGCAACTGATGAGGACGAGTTTCCATCAAACTGCCTGACAGAGCTTATTACAAATGAGATGCATCATAGAAAGGTAACGATCATTAAGAATAAGCTTCTGAAGCACTCACTGGCTAGAAACCGCAGCTGCACCCGAATAAGGCAAAGGCCTACGGAGACATTTGCTTGCAGGTAAGACAATTCGCGCTGGTATCCATCGATTCCGGAAGAGCTACAAAGTAAAAATGTTGAAAAGAGCTGCTGGATGGTGGTACCAAAGTCAAGCGAAAAATCAAGGCAGTGGGATGTACGGTGAAATGGGTATGCCGAGCGAACCTGTAATAACTAAAGATACTAAGACTTTAATATTGACGAACCAACTGAAATTATGTGTCATGCTACATCGCATTCCGTACCTTGGAAGAAATCCAATGTCAGCTCATGCTACAAAACGAAACAAGGTATCTGGGTCCGATGATATACATGTCGTTAGTAAACGACGGAGGAAATCCACTAGTGGTTGACCTGTTCGTTTGTTGAACAACATTTGGGACACTAAAAATTGTCCGCATAGTGGTGCTTGCTGGCGATCAATGCGTCGGCTAGGTTATTCTTCTCATACGTCTTCCGGCTAAGTTTCTCGCGGTATCAGTTTGGGCGAGGTGGCTAATCTATGACGTGACATATTGGAATAGAGGAATTGACCGAATTGACCTGTCAAGTTCCGTCCTCTTGGACGGGCCACATAGGCGGCTAGAGAATTTATCTGATATGGCACAGTTAGGGAGTCAGTAGTGTCCATGCATTCGGCCTCTTGTATCCAGCTCGCTTAATCTTACTTCACTTTTCCCTAACGCCTTATCCTTTTACTCTGTTTTCGTTCCACTTCATTTTCCTCATCGTTGTTGAGTATCACTACTCTGGCGACGCGAGTTCTGCGAACTGGATCCACCGCACTTCGGTGCCCGGAGCTGGGCTTAAGTAGCTCGAATTGTCGTTAGATGGAAGTCGCGGAGTCAATTTCCAGCATCGTTTATTTGAGGCCGACTTGTGTAGATCAATAACTGAGAATAACTTGACGTATTGTAAGTTGTCAACTGTCAACCGAGTCAGTGTTATGTGGCATGGAAGTACCACAACTACCTACCTACACCAGCTTGTAGCCCACAAAGTACTCCGGGTAGCTGTTAGGTTGAAAGCGGAGAGTGACTAGCGAGTAAAATTGACCACTCGAGCATACATGACGGTGTCGATATCGGGATACGGTTTCCTGGTCAAGCTAACAATACACACGATGGACAACGGTGACGGCAATGAAGTCTCACTTGGTAGCTGGAGCGGACGTGGTTGAATCACCATTGAAGATAATGCTGTATGCCTGGCGCAATTCGTTCGTAGTGAGCTTTCCGTTTTTAAAAGGCATACGTCGCTGGCCCGAAAAAGAGAGGAAGTATGATATATAATAAACATTTCATCTGAACAAGCAAATTAGTATGATAAACCCTGCTTAAACAGTAATTATTGCACCGATATGGGAAGGTGAGAAAGCAACTTGAGGAGGGGTTTTAGTGGCAACACACTGGATCAACAAATCTCGCAAATTTATAGGTGAAGAACGAGTGAATGTGCGTTCTGCCCTGTTTAGCAGCATGACCGATGCTCATTTGGTGCACTCTAGAGCCCGTGTGAAAATAGGATGCGCTTGCCGCTGCGCTGCCTCGTCAGGCTTGTGCAGATGGGGGTAGGTGACTGATGAGGCGATTGTTTTAAGCGTGAATATCGTTCATTTGCGTGAAGGAAGCGGTGAACTATTGGCCTGGTTCAACCAGCCCAACCAACGACAACAACAGACCGAGAATTTGAGTCACAAATTCATCGGTTATAAGAAAAACGGATTATATTGCGGATGCAAATAAACAGAAATACTCAGGTTTAGGTTTGTTCTCCGAGCCGAACTATTTCGATGATGACGTTTCATCACCAATCGAGGTGGCTTCGTCAGTGCGTACCAAGCAAAAAGTGACCGATGAGATCGGGACTACATACATACATTATACACGTCAGCCAAAGGTAGGAAACACCTCAGGTACCGTGCCGCAATAAATAAAGGAAAAGGAAAATAAATACAATAGTTGCATGCCAGCTAAGCTACCAGCAACGGATAGGCATCGTTCCGGTAAGCTACCAGCCGGCTACCAGGCGAACAGAAAAATTATTATGTTTTACGCTACAAAATGAGAATGTGCGTCGAGGAAGAGCCTAAAAGGGATGGGGAGGGACGAAGAAACTCACAGCACGAACGCCACTGAGGTCGGCTCTTTGCCAGGTCCGCAAGTGTATCCAGCCAAACGTGTTCACCGTCTTTTGGACCCCAACCAGGGAGCCGTGGCGCTCCAACCGAGGCCAGCTCCGAAGTGAGGGCCTTCATTCCTCTGGACCAAGTCGTCGCTTGGCCACCCCTCCTCTTCTTCCATCCACAAGCCCGGTGGGCAAACAACACACGTCGTGGAAGTCGGGGAGCTGGCATGTGTAACACGTGGCCAAGCCATCGGAGCCTGGTGCGTGAAATAACGGTGCTGAGCGGTTCAGTTCCTTTTCCTGCGCCGTAAACAGGGCGTCGAACACGCTCGCTACTCACACGGTGTTCCCACCAGATGTGAGCCAAACTGCGAAGGCACCGACGGTCGAACGTAACTAGCCTCTTTATGTCCGCCGACCTTAGGGGCCAGGTTTCACAACCGTACTTAAGGTCGAACGTACCACTGCATTGTACAATCTACCCTTCGGGGCGAGAGTGATGTTGCGCCGCCGCCATAGGTGGCGAAGGTTAGCAAAAGCACTTCGAGCTTTTGATATACGGTTCGTGATCTCCTCTTCGATCCCAAGGGCGCAGATACAACTTTGAACGACTTCTAGCTGATCTCCGCCGAGGGTCAGCGCAGGAGGCGATCCCTACCAATCTTGGAGGAACGCTTTGCATTTCGATGGTGCAAAGCAAAACCCGAAGCGGCTGACAGCCAGTGCTAATCTGTCCAGCGCGGCTTGGCACGTCTGGGAGTTGTCACAGATGAGGGCAATGTCGTCAAGAAGTCGTTCTCCTGGGAGTAGCTCCACACCTTTCAAGTCATGTGCTGTAAATGCAATCTCCATGACTTCGTCAATAGCGAAGTTGAAGAGGAAAGGTGACAGCGGGCATCCTTGTCTCACACCGCTGGAGATATTGAACGGCGGCGACAGCTTGCCGTAAGCCCTCACTCTGCCCGTGCTACGCGCGTATAATGCTCGGATAATACTTACATATTTCTCGGGCACACCTTTCTTGAGTAGACAATTCCAAAGGGCACATCGATCAACCGAATCGAAGGCATCTTTGATGTCGAGAAACACGACTACGGTGGGCCACCAATATGTGTGACGGTGCTCCAACAACTGACGCAAGGTGAAGATGTGGTCGATGCAGCCACGACCCCGACGAAACTCGGCTTGCTCCTCACGAATCTGGCTTTCACGAGCGCCAGTCAGTCTGTGAAGGATTATGGAGGCGATGGAGATCAGACTGATTCCTTTATGGTTGCCGCATTCCGTGTGCGAGCCTCCTTTGAAGATGGCAACAATAACGGAGCGGCTCTAGTCGGTTGGGACAGTTTCCTGCTCCCACAGTTTCACTAGTAATTTATGTAAAGCATCAACAAGCGCAGAGCCTCCGGATTTGAGGAGGAATGGAGGAAGATCATCTGGTCCCGCGGCTTTGTTAAAGTTCAACGGTCCGATCTTACGTTTGACTTATGAGCGTAGGTGGATCCAAAGGGACAGCCCACGGAGCAGGGTGATCACTGGCCGGCGAAGAATCGAACAATTCTAGCCGATTAAATTGCTTTTCAAAATGCTCAGTCCAACGCTCCAAACGTTTTGACAAATTGTAGATAGGCTGTCCACTCTCGTCACGTATAGTTTCACTAACACCAGGTCTCCTGCTGTCCGTATCCCGTATCAGACGGAATAACTTACGATGGTTGCCAAGGGCAGCGGCCACTTCCATCTCTGACGCACGATGAGACTACAAAGATTCGCGGTCTCTCTTCAGGCTGGCATGGAATCTTGCCCGGAGCTGTGTGCAGTTTCATCGTGTTCGCTCCCAGCCGGGATATGCTTGTTGACAGGAGAAAATTGACGCTCCGCGTAAGCAGGTGAGTTGAAATTAGAAGATAAATGCCTAGCAAAGCATGTTGGGGGAGGGCCAAGAATCGGGGGTTGAAAACTGGGGGGATATAAGTAAAGTTGGAACGGGAGGGTAAGAGTGAAAAGGCGTAGGAGGGGGAATATGTATGTATGTAATCTCAACAGCCTAGCAACTAGACATAGAGCCAACAAAGCCAGGGAGATTAGCAGAGGAAGTCACTGTGTCATAATCATCGTGGCATGGTAGTTGAAGGTGAGCAAAATGGGGAATAAGAAGACGGGAAGGCTTGAGCAGTAGCATCCAAACCCCTATCCATCCTGCTCGATGCAGCAGATAGGGCACCGTTGATTATCCTCTGCGGTGGCCAGAGCATCACGAAATTGTTTAACGAATGATTCATAGTATTGCGTGAGCAGGATACTGTCAGGTTGCGCAGTCCTAGACAGGAGAACGATTAGGGTTCTCAACCAAAGCCTTTGGTTCAAAAACCTAACCGCAAGGCAGCGGGTTTGGCGTTGGGCTACAAGGAGTCCGTTTTAAGGTATAAGGTGCCACTGTCATTCCAACCCCCAACCTGGAGGACCAGGAGGATGAGTTTGGTTGGCCTCTAACCATTGACCAATCTGGTATGAGTGACTCTGAAGGTGCAAAAGTACTACCCAGCATAGCTCAATGGATCGCTGAGGCACACAAACCATCGCACCACGGTAAGGTCCGGCCTCATTGCGATCGGGTCTAAGTCAACTGCAAAAAAGGAACAAGGCTGATCATTCACCACATGAGTCTAAATGAGGCGGCGATCGAACTGCAAACTAGCAATGGTTACGGGACGTGAATCGAAGTGGCCAAGTTCAAACATCACTGCTTAGTACGCACTAACGAAGTCACCTCGATTGGTGATGAAACGTCTGCAACGAAATAGTTCGCCTCGGAAGACGAACCTAAACCTGAACAGAAAACCCGAGCTGCAGGTATTCCGCTTTATTGCTAAACAGTAATACTGTAGCTCCAGGAGACAATCTACCATCTTTGGATTCTTAATGATGCGAGCAGAGTTAGTAAGGTCAGTGGATGGGAAGACCGACGTTTCGTTCCAGAATGTAAAGGGATTGGTCAGTCGCTCTTATATGTTCACTTACGGCACCAGACCCATCGTTAAACAATGTTCACACGGTGTTGTAGATTCGCAGTTGTAAAAAACAAACTGAAAGTATTGTGGATGATACATCCGCTGAGTGCAAATGCGGTACATGCTAGTGGTCCGATATACCGGAGTAAACGATCGTGCACCGATGACACTGTGAATGGCTTACTGTCTTAACAATTCCAACGAAGATCATAATAGTTACACAGCTTTGAAAACTAGTGTTGAACTTGATATGACTAAATGATTGCAGCAGCGCACGATATTGCTGTGGCGTTGGTAAAGCAGCGGAGGAGGAGCATAACACGCACCATTGTTGTTTTGGCCGCATCAGTTAAGCGCCAACAACCAGTGATATCCACGGGTTGAACGATAAAAAAGCAGAATACATGAAAGCGTTTGTATAGAGGGTTATGGTTGGTGAGACTGAACAGCCTTAAGCGCAGGAATTGCTGTCTCCGACGCCGGTCGATTATGGGGTAAAGAGATGACAGGCGCTACCTTAGAACGCCAACTCGATTCGTACAGCGTGAAAATTTAAAAGTCTAGTTACCATATGGACACACAGATCTTACAGCTGCATAACTAATAGTGCGTTGTCCATTGACGCAAACGGGAGTGTATGAGTTGAAGAGTATAGGATCAGAACCTACGTGCAGAATGTGAGTGGAAACTTTCTCAGTGTAGCGATCCTCGCCTTTCGGTAAGCCTTCAGATGACTCGGCTGCATCGGATTGTTCGAAGAGGCTGAGATTTGAGAGGCACCAGCACAACTCTTCGAAACGCGATAGGCGAGCCAGAGACCATGACAATGCCTGCATGAACAAAACCATGCTAGCCAGAGGATCCTTCGCATCAACTGGAAGGGGGTGTAAGAGGATAAGATTGTATCCACCGAAGTACTGCGAGTTGCAGGTACATATCAATGGTAGCTATGCTTACCGTTGATTAAGTGCCCCATCAGTGTACCTAGAACACGTTCTTTCGTCGATTTGGATCCGACGGTTGTGAGTTCAGAACCACCTCCCGCGGCTACGCACACAGAAATGAGCTGGTGCATAAGTTGTACTTGCTGAGTTTCACACAGCAGATATTCCAATCCCAGTGTACCACGATGAGGAGACGGTTTTTCCGTCGCAGAGCGACCAATGACCGATGGGTCATCCAAGAAAATCGCGGGAAGAAGGCAGAGAACATGACGAATAATCCGGGATTGGACCACTTCGCGTTGTAAGGCGGAAAATCTGCATACAGAGAGTAAGGAAAAGTATGAGGTGTGGGATTTCGAAACAAAATAAATCGCACCAGAACAAGGCGGAGTGCGTCGCTCTACCGAACTTCATCATTGCGGGTGTCTCGCCAAGCTACTTGACTCAATACTCTTTGATGCGAAGAAAAAGAGCCACATACGTGACGGCTAGTTAGTGGCATTCATGCTTTCCGAAAGGCCAAATAGTGCTATTTGTAATAGTTGTTTTCATCCAGACTACCCACATGCGTCATATGTCGACGGCTCACTGGCCCTCGTGAATTGGTGAAGTCCAGATCGACTTCCAGGTAAAGGATGTATTGACCAGCTATTTTGCTCCACCAAGTGTTCGAGTAGCATCATATTCATGCACAATTATGATAATCTCTCGGTTTAAAAACTGCAACTGACTCCGCCAGATGGACTTGTTTCCGGCAAGGAATTTGCGCTTGCATTTCCCTGTAAAATTGCACCACCTAAGGGTCTATGGGAAATTTTCTCTTAAGATAACAACGAAAAGTGGATAAAGCAAGACTGCTCTGTCTATCGCTTCATCAACTTCGTGACCGAAACCATCATGGATGACACTGTCTTTCTTCCTTCCATTTCTGCTAATGTTGAGCAATGGCAAAACGTTACTATTAAAATCCTGCTACTTACGAGTAATATGAAAACTTATTGCCATCAGGCAGTGAACGTAACTGTCCTTAAGCAGCACCGCTTATAGACATAACAGCAGATGTGCCATTTGGTGCCTTCCAGTAGCCGGTCGGCAATGAGATCAAAAAATTCACGTTACTGCAAGTCTTGATCCCTAAGTGTCGCATTTTTGTAATACTTGGGTCGGTTCTTATCATGCCTGATTACGTCGCCGATTTTCATTCAATCTTGCATAGTAGCTACGGTAACCACTCCCTTAGTTGGCGTCCGAAAATCTGTACATAGCTAAACAAGCTTGCCATGAAACCTTGCACACTAAACTATCACTTAGTCGCTCAGGTAGAATACGATTTTCATTGTTGTACATGGTGTGACCATATCAGTCGTCAGCGCACCAGTCACTGGATATGTTCGCAAGTCTAAAAGGATCTAAATAATCCGTGATAAGAAGGAGCAACACGACTAGGACTGCTGTCCGTAACGAGATAACTTGTGACGTGCTAGCTGACAAGTAAATCTTGTGAACTCGAAGCGCAGCTCAGTTTAATTGGACAGCTATGGTTCCTTGCATCGAGGTGCGGTGGATCCAGTTGTCACAACTGGCATCGCCAGAAAAACCATAAATAACAACGGCAAAGTAATGGGCTTGAAAGCAAAACTGAAGAAGTGCACAAAAAATTAAGATGGAAAACTAATAGTTAAATGTAAGCAACTGAGTGGTTCGGGTCAATTCGGTTCCAGCGAATGGTTTGGCAGCAGGGTTCCAGGACGTGGTGGGTACTCGTCGCTTGGCATGGGTTTTCCCCCCTCCCCCAAAAAACATGTCTACCTAACAACACTGCGACGTGGCATTTATGACTTGCCACAAACTAAAGTCACCTTGACAACCTGACCGAAATCAAACACAAATGCGGCGTCACATTTCCGAATTCAAGCAACACAGCCACACATATTCATACCTACATACACATAGATCCAGATGCTACTGATAAACTTGTATCGCTAGGTACATTTACCACCCCTTAGTGTTTGTATCACAATGATCATGTCTTTGCAGACTGTCTCGCATTGTGGAGAATAAAACATTTATTTATTTATATATTTAGGAAGGCGCAACTGCGCCACTACTGGTGTGGACTATCCCCGAGCCCCCATCCACCACGTTATCGACTGTCCATCTAGCGGTTTCGCCCAACGTGGTGTAGCCACGACGTATAATGCACGCTGAGGAAGTCGGCCGATCGCCTTAGGGAACACAGGAAATCGCCAATGTAAGCAGTTGAGCGTAAGGAAACACTCGAGTGGGGCACAGAAGGCTTTTTGCCAAAATCCAACTGGCGGGCCTCAGCATTGCTCACCCGGTGTTCCAACCAGACGTGAGCATTACTCCGCAAGCATCGGTGGTCAAACATGGCCAAGCGTTTACTGTCTTCGCCGCGAACTGGCCAGATCTCTGATCCACTCAGTTACACTGGACTTCCCGCAGTGTTATACGCCCTACATTTGACAGAATGACATTCAGACGTCTCCACAGATGGTTGAGCCTCTGGATAGCGATACGGGCCTTGTTGATAAGCGAAAGTAACTACTGCGGTGATGCGACCACTAGAGGTGACACAGCTACCAAGGTAGATGAACAGATCCAGCACGTCCAGTGGCTGTTCACTGACAGCTAAAGCCGGTGACATATCGATCTAGTCTTGCAACAACACTTTGCAATTTGAAAGTGCGTTCATGCCAAACCGTGCAGCACATGCATCAGTCTCTTCAGTAGTGCTTGCATAGCTACCGCGTCAGATCTAAGGTGAGCTTCGTCGTCCGCATATTTAAGGTTTTTCATTCGGCCACTTGGCAGAGCTTTCACTTATCATGGGGAACTCGGGACAGTTTCCCGTAGACAATTAACAGGCCTTGAGAATCACGGTAGAGCTCAGAATGGAAAGGTTTCTAGGCACGCCCTTCATGGATAGGCAGTGCTGCAGCCTGGTGCATTCAACAGAGTCGAAGGCGGCTTTCAAGTTATGGAAAACCACCATAGTCGGTCGTTTGTGTGTCTCCACTCTAACACTTGGGTCGATGCAGCCATGACCAAGGCAGAAGCCAGCTGGCTTTCAATGACTCAGCTCACAGGAGGACCAGTAAGTCATGAAAGAATGGTACCGATGAGGATGGGCGCACTATAAAGAAGGCTAATGTCTCAATGATCTTTGCACAATGTACGCTGACCCCACTTGAAGATGGGCACGATAGTTGGTAGTCGCCAGTCTGAAGGCACTTCTTCATTGTCCCAAATCGAGTTACAAAGAGAAGCGAGTCCAGAGTGTGGTCATTGTCAGTAGAGCCAGAAACAGAAGTCGAAGATTCGTCACAACACTGTTACCTTGCAGGCGTGTTTCGGATACACAACATGCAACAATACCAAGAGAGCGAAGAGTGAGCGTGCTGACTATTGGCCGATCTGACCCAGAGTGCGGACGTTAAAAGAACCAATGTAAAATGTGACTCTCGATTTGATAGATGAGCTACCTGTACCGATGGTAGCGACTGCAAATTCAGCGGCAGTCCATTGCTCAGTAGACGAATAAGAAGGACTATTATCGACGAGGTCCAGAGGGCAGATAATACTCTTTGACTCCTAGTTTCGACAGAGTGGTTTTGTCCGAGGTGCCCTACCACTAGCCTTTCGCTCAATAACCTGAACCCAAGGCAGTAGGGAGCAATCCCAGCTCGGGAATGTAGAGGCTTACTGGAATCCTCATGAGGCTTGTCATATACAGCCTTTGCAAATTTAGAACTATGCACATGTGTTTTATGACGGTAGTGTGTTCTGCACCTACGACTACGGCCAGCCGCAGATGGGAGTTGGGGGGTCTGCACCACTTTGACCAGGGGCTGTCTGGCTTGAGGCGGGCGGTAGCAAACCATTGAGCTCCACGAGGTCCCCTAACGTCCGAAGAGGATTGGGTTGTGAGAGTGAATTAGTTAGTCTGACTCCGAACTATTGAACCGCCTGAGATGAGTGGCTCTGAACGCACTTGGTAAATGTCACATAGAGTAGCTAAGTGGATCACAGATCTAAGCAAACCATCGCACCAGTCTCATCATAATGGTGGGAACGAATTTAGGTACCTTAAGCGGCAGACAACGCTCATGGGTGGTTCCAGGTTATCCCCACCAGCGCCATGATGCGCGTCATGGGAAGTTGTTTGACAGCACTTTTGTTGGAGCACTTTAGGTTGCATCCTGCCTCTGAGTTGTTTCCCGCTTAAGTGGCAGTGATCAAACCAAGGCCGGCTATATCTGAAGTTGAAATCCGAAACACGATGTGACAGTTGCCAAGCCGTTCCATTTTGCGAGTCCGACTACGTGTGAATTGGTACTAGTACTCAAAGACTGCGTTTCTATGAGTCTTGACCGTAAGTGTCTTACAGAGGCTAGACTATGTAACGTTATGTCTCAGTGATTCAACTTATAATGCTCAGAATTGCTTAACTCAGTGAACCACACGTTACGTGTGAGTACTCTGCGTCAGCGCGCATGTCGCGTTCCGAGTGTGTCCCCATTGTCGACAGATCCTGTCTCAAATTCTTCATCTTTTCAGTACTTGCAACCTCCGCTGTATTAGTTCGTTTCTATGAGTGTATTATATCCGACAGCAGCGTTTAACCGTTTCTCCGCTGTTGCTCCAAAATCTTTCGCACCCGAGCTGGTTGAGAAAGTTGGTCAGGCCGATCATAGTGTCGTTAATAAAAAAGGAACATTCACAAAGACTGTGCCAACTGCAGAGGTATCCGATGGTAGTGTTTTGTTCTTGTCCACTGCTTCACCAATGGGTGGGAATCTAGGTTGATATGAACAGGCATGTTTCCATCCAGAAAGGGAACGCATATATCGTACAACTGTTCTGATGTAGGTACAAAATAAGCAGCACGATACCGGAAGTTGACCACATCCGTGTTCCTCGATATGTAGAGCACGTTTCATCAAGCCGGCCGCTTCATTCTAACTTATCTGCATGGCCGGAGGAAAAGTTGTATAAAATGTGTAGCCATTTTATGTACCTCAGATACTAACATCCGGGCGTGCGGCCCCACGGCGAGTTGTTGGACAACTTTCCAACGAGAAGTGGTATTTGTGGGATTATTCTAACGGAAACAGAGTAAAATTACCAAACAAGCCGATCGTTGGATACTGGAACATTGATTTGGATCACCAGAACTGGCAGTTGTGCCATCTGCTTGTCAAAACCCGTTTGTCATTCCATTCGCTTCAGCCCATCGTTTTTATCTCAACCCCGGCTGCTTGTTTCCTGTTGCGTGCATCTATCCATGCAACCTACCCCATCCGTCACACCTGTTTGCCGTTTATTCATTCACACTTCCGCGCACACCTGTCCTGTGACACATCGTTTCTCCTTGAAGTCACCCGTGAACCCAGTGCATTGTATCACCTTATGTGCTGTACAACGAACTCGTCACTGCGCAGGGTTACGTGACCTAATAGAAGAGCCTGTGAGATTGAGTTCGCGGACTCTGGCCTACGTGATCTGGTTGTGCAGTCGCAAGTACGGTGGTTTGCACCTTCACTGTGTAAAGTTTAAAGAAACCGTTGTATTCGCACTAAGTGAGTACTGTTGAGATATATATCCATTTTACTTTCTGTTATTTGCTTAAATAGTACCCCAGTTAACTTTCGGCTTTGTTTTGGCTTGACCCGGGAGTTCTACAAGTCCCAAGCGAACTTGTCGCTTACGGACAGCTTGATTATCTCAACGTCAAGCTTGCAAGGGGTGTATCATTCTAATAACAAAAAATCCGCCTCACTTAGAGCGAAGAAGATAAATCGTACTGCTTCGTAAAGATCGCGGAAGGAGGTCTAGTAGAACCGTTAGTAACCAAATCACTATAAACCTTTGTGATCGTGATGAGGGAAATCTGGACGACACGTTGGTAAACACGAACAGGTACAGTAAAAACCGTTTATTGTGAAGTGAAAGGAATTTCGAACAACCGTTGATTAATCGTAGCAAACCGCAAGTGAACGCCTATGGTCATACAGAAGAGTAATACTCTCTTAGGGATATGTGTGATAATGCGCATCGATAGTGGATAGGAATATGGACATCAGATAGAACTTACTCATCCAGTCCAGCGATATGAGTACAGGAGATCAAAACGAACACCTCCGTCAGGCAGACTTCCATAGCCAACCACTGAGTTAGGCAGCTGAAACCACGTCTGCTGATAGTATCTGGCGAGTGATTTAGAAAGTATGACAGCGTGTTGCCGAGTGCGGTTTCGTCAGTAATGAGAGATCCGGAATGAGTGTAGAGAAAGTTGAGAACTTGCTGATTGGCACATAAGTGCGCGGGACCTGTGGACCAAGAAGGAAGGTTGTAGAATACTTTGTGCTTAATTGTTAAAGCCTAAGTTACTGAGGATATACATACCCAGCGTTATCAAGATGGACTTCAACAGAGCGATGGTTGGCAACACGACACCGGACCAAGAAAGATGAACCTCGTTTTCCTCCCGGGACTTTTCGGTCACCGAAGTCAGTAATTTGCGAAATATGGCGGTATCAGGGAGTACATTTATATCGGAATGTAATCGAGTGACCGTATGCAAAACGGAGGAAAAGTCTAACCATTTGCAGTGTTGGCGTTCAGGTGTTCCACAAAGTATGTCCAATGTATCGGCGTAGAAATTGCTCACATCAAAAGCAGAGAATATTGCACGGTCAGCCAGGGAATTTATGACGCCGCTGAGAATCAAAGCCTGAGAAATAGCGAAGCAATGAAGGGGGGAGAGTAAGGCTGGTTCGGAGTAAACACAATCTGACGGAAAAGCGGGGGAAGATTATCGACGCGGTTCTACGAAAGGACAGTGAAATTCTAATTTGTTGAATGGAATGTGAGAGCCATGCAGTTCGGATGTCGCTTCGTGGATGCTATTCGGACAGAATGCACCAAGTGATTTCATCATAAACGCATGGATGACCAACCGGCCGATGGAATTTAACATCACAGAGAAAATGTAAAAGTGCACTGCTGCGCTTCACCCAAAGCTTCGTAGAAACGCATATTAGCAGTAATGTATATACAGACAGACAGAAAAAGTTGAATGTGAAAATGGCCGATGGTCTAGTCGTCCTTCTGTTGATTCAGAGATGACGCAATAAAGCATTGTTTAACATTTCAAAGGGCCAATCCTTTACCTTAGCTCCACTTGTCGTAGTCGCCAAACGACATAGTAAAGATAATTTTGCACGGTAGAGATGAAAAGCTGAGATAGCGGCGGAGGACATGTTGGTCGTTCCATCGACAACGCACTCGTTTTCATCGGCGAAGCCTGATGCAGTAGACGTGATAAAAGATTCCACGGAGGCCAGATCTTCGATAGTACTATCAACTAGGTGCTTTAAAATGAAAACAGTGTTTTGTTAGAGCATGGCTGCGGGAGGAAACTAAAAAAGTAAGAATTTGTGTAAACGGTAGGAAGTGCATGCGTGCCCAGCGAAATAAATATCTATAGTGATCGAGTGGACGAAGCGTATAGCCGATTCGAATCTGCGTAAGTACAGGCGAACTTGCATTATCCTGACCTGCATTCAATCACCGCCAGTTGCGTGGTACCGAAGTGAGAAAACGAAGTACCGACGTACTGATGATGTCCATTTTTCAGTTCTCAGAAAAAGGGTAATTATATGGAATTGTTCAGATAATCTGCTCGTTCGTAAAGAGAAATAGCCGCATGAAATCTGCACGTCAGTTTGGTCACGGCCAATATACCCGTAGCTGTCTGACCAACTGGCACCAGTATACGTTCGCCACCGCCACTCCGTTTGCCTAGACTAAAGGATTCTGTGGAGCTCCAACAACCCGGTAGGCAAATATAGTGTGGATGTTGGCCACAGCTTCGGCTGAACTGGGGGTACGATGTGGAAACACAGGCAGCGCCGCCGCTAAATCACTGAACAGATATCTGAGCACAATGTCGAATCTAAGTAACTGACTAGTCCATTTCCTGAATTGCATTTTCCTTGTAGCCTATTATAGTTATAACAGTACACCGTGAGTGAAAGCGCTTTCGGTATCCGGCTATTACTTTGGCTGCAGGCAGAAACAGTGATGTTTCGTCAACGGGCTGCCTGTCGCAAGGAACCACGTATTCTACGCAAACAGAAAGGCAAACGGATGTGATCCAGTATGAATTGTGAATTACTGAAGCAACAAGTATCATGGAAATTCAAGTGCCATATGCGAAAATATCCGCGCCGTTTATGAGCAGTCGAACTGTGATATCGCCATCCAACCGCGATCTTTCACTCGAAGCATAATATCTTACTAAGCAGTATGTTACCCGTTGATTTGTTGTATTTTGTAATGTTTATGATGCGGCACAATAGTCGAGGTATGTTTCTCACCTTCAGCTAATGTGTGCTGATGATGGTGATGACATCCGCACGTGGTGAGTGGGTTCACTCAATCGTGCGGAAGCTGTGAGTAGATGCATACCACACTAGTGATTGAGCAACAGTTCATTTCATTACGCGGCCCAACTGTGAGTCTCCGTGAAGAAAGAGTTCTATTAGTATCAGTGGTCAGGCTGCTGGTAACAACTGGATAGGAAAAGCAGTCGTGAAAAATGAAACTGACATACCATCCAGACGTCAAGGCATGAAAAAACTTGCACAGCTTAGTGTGATGTAACCACAGTGAGGAATCGGAAAATTGTAATCACAGACGGAACGCATATTGTAGAATCTCGTGAACAAGGCTACCACAGGACAGGAAGTAAGTGTGATGGATTGGAATACAACCCGACCAGGATGACATATGTGCCTATAACGGGGAACGGCATAGTGTAACTGGTGGAAAGCTGAACAACCAACAATTATGATCGTGGTGGAAATTTTACGATGAGCGTCACTCAAAACCGTACTTGTAAAATGGTCCGTTGACACAGAAATGAGGTCAAATCTCGAGTGGATCGATCAAAAGTAATCAGGAGTTCTGAGAAGGTGAACGCAGCCATCTGTGTGATTGCATGGCTCTGAATCAGATCGCAAACCAGGAGGCAATGAAGAGCAAACGCATCTGTCAATTCGGTGAGGTGGGCAACGTTAGTTCGTGCCCAGTGTGAGGACGGGTTGGCGGCCGAATGCATGGCTGATAAACATTCCGGGAGGATGAGACTGGTGCCACGGGAGTCTCGATTTTCCTGCGAGGCTGAAAATGAAAGGAGAGACAGGAGTGAAGTAAAAAGCACCAATGGAGAGTACGAAAGAGCAACCGTGAAAAGCGGACATAACGCACCCATGAAGCGTCCGAATCGGAGTAAGTAGCCCAAACAGCCATACAGATTCGCTCGCATTCGCTGTGACGATGGTTCTGAGCAAAAAGTGCAAGAGATAAATGTTATGGCACACTATCTATTAGTCCTCCGGTTGATGACGAAAGACGAGGATGGCAACTCTTACTTGTCTGTAGGAGCAACTCAGTTAGGGAGTAGACAATTCGAGTGAGTTGGCCAGCCAATTCTTTCACACTCAATGCTGAAGAGTTGTCACCGCAATCGAAGGCCAAATCATCCGAATTGAGGAATGATGCAATGTGCAAAAGGGTACCAGACGCCAGCAAACGTATGGACGGGGGGCAATGTTCAGTGACGCAAAGCTGCAGATTGAACATAAGCAGATAAATGAGCGTCGACAAACCGTGACCTCATCTGATTTCAGCTATGTCAGTTGGTGGTAAAAATGGGTAGTAAAATAAACGAAATCGGTTTGTTAGCAATGCAGCCATGTGCAATTAAAAAAGCCCACTACTACTTACCTCAGTGAGCAACTGATTTAACACCGCCAAGCACAGAGTGTGAAAACCACTTCCTCGGAAAGAATTGGATGAGCTAAGATACTGGTCAGCCAGACTTCCAATATCACCTAGATGGGATAGCACAGAGGAGGACGGTTGAAGTGACAAGGTAGGAGTAGTAGAACTCTTGGCAAGAATCCAAAAGCTGACTTCAACCACCTCTCTCCAGGCTTCGAAAGTTGCCTGTTTGCCAGCAAACAAATACAGTCGATGCATATTCCGGGACTCTATCCATCGACGCAGATTGATCAAATCTTGTGCAATAATATCAGCGGCTGTGTGCTCCAGATGTGTGAGCTTAGGTAACGTGGCACCAAGCTTGTTTTGATAGACCATTTGAAACAAACTGGCTAGATCATCAGCGGATGTGATATTCGCGCAATCACGATTAGCTAATAGCTTAAGGTATAACCGGTTGAAGAAAGTCTTCGGATCCAAGAGTGTGGAGACCCTCCGCGTGGTAGACGAGTCGGATGCGAGCAAAGGAGACACCATTTCACATCCATCGAGCAGCTATGGAAAAAATGAACAAAATAGTTGTCATGAGTGGAAAAGAAAGTGCTAAGGATGTGTTAAGATAAAACTTTCCTACATAAAAGACTGCAGCATTCAAAATCTTCAGATAATGCTGAATTGGCTTTCAAATTTTCAGGATAATCTAGTCATCAATTTTCATTGAAAGTAATGAATAATTTGTTGATTGTTGGGTCTTCGATTACCCACCGTGTATTTTGATTGTGACACACAATCTCAATCGAGACCACAGTTTGTTTTGAAGCAAACCATTCCGATCAATGGGACCGCTTCAGAAGTGGAGCGTTTCGGAGCTGCTATCTACTAGCACCCCTGGTCAGGTAGACATAGCTTAGACTGAGAGAGGAACTCGACACAGTGGTGGAGGGATTTTGTTGTGGTCACTAAGCCAGAGCTCCACAAGCAGCGCTAAACACAGCGGTTAGGAATTCATTTTTGGATCTTGGAGTACTTTGTGAAAATTTTAATCAAGCCAACTAGCCGAAGCTACCATCAAGCAATGCAATTAGGGGATCGTGGCCGAATACGATAGCTAGTTTAGGCGATGAGCACAGAGTATAATTCCGGAGAAAAAATTACCTGGTAAGTGCTTCAATATGCCCATTCAGAGAATGGTGCGCTAGAACAGTCTAGCCAATCCTTCATCGCTGAGTTTAGTGAACAAGCTGCCAACAGTATCACTGAGTTTTTGTTCGATCCTGCGGCCAACGTAACATTTGATTCTTGGATCAAACGATAGGAAGACTTATTCCGCGTTAAGTTTGCCCATCGTGACGACGCATGGAAAGTTCGCCTTCTGCTCCGCAAACTCGGTGCCGCTGAACACGAAAAATGCTTCAATTACACCCTACCATAAAACCCACGCCATCGGTTATTCAATGAAACGGAGCAGACAATAGCACAAATATTCGATGAGCAATCATCACTTTTCTATATTTGATACCAGTGTTTCGAAATTGTGAAATGTGACGCAGATGATTTCGTCAATTATGCCGGTGTGATTAATCGGGAATGCGAACGCTTCGAGCTACGTTCTCTCACAGACGACCAGTTTAAGTGCCTCGTGTTCATATGCGGCCTTCAATCGTCAAAGGATGCCGATATACGCAAGCGACTTTTGAGCAAAGTTGAGCAGGATCCCTAGATGACGTTACGAACTGTCACCACTGAATGCCAGCGTCTCATAAATCTGTAACACGACACGACCATGATCCAGAATCCTGACCGCTCTCTCAGTCCCATTCACTCTGTGGAGGCTTCCAAACATCATGTCAACACCAGTCACCTAACCCATTCCGGCAATAAGAAGACGGTCGGCCGGTGGCCGAGTGGTATGCGCGTCTGGTTTGCAACCATAAGGTCACCTGTTCGAATCCGCGTAGGGGCGGGCGTTCTCGTGCATACTCAGCCCACGGGCGACTGGTGGTGGCCGCGTGGCAGCGAAGCGCCGTTACGGCGTACAGCTGGCGATTTAGTTATTATTATTAGTAGTAGTACCAATATTATTATTATTAATAAGAGGTTACTTAATTTGTGTGAAGAAGCCCGCTTTTTTCTTGCGAGCACTAACTTCCGACACAGCACCCGCCGGAGGGTGACTTGGCGCCCACCAGCCTTGGACGCAGATCAATCAAATTGCTATCAATTACCGCTGGAGAGGCTGCATCCAGAATTGTCGCTCGATTTGGAGCACATGTGTGGACACTGATCATGCACTTGTATGTGCTGACATGCGGATGCGTTTTGGCGGACACCCACGATGACGTTGTGACCGCATTGACACCAGCCAACTGACAAAGCCAGCTGTTCTGTATCCGTATCGAAGCACGCTGACATGCGGGTTGAGCAGGCGCTCAATGGAGACAATTGATGGTCACTGGTCACATGTTCACCAGACCTTATTAGCAGCAGGCAAATCCTCATGTGGTATGTCTAATAACAAACATGGATATTGGGTCTCTTCGCGGTCTCTGGAACTCATTGACGCTTATCGGCATATCCCGGCTGGAAGCGAACACAATGAAACTCGCAAAGAGCTCCGGGCAAGACTCCGTGCCAGCCTGAAGAGAGACCGCGAATCTTGGTAGTCTCATCGTGCGTCAGAGATGGAAGTGGCCGCTGCCCTTGGCAACCATCGTAAGTTATTCCGTCTGATACGGGATACGGACAGCAGGAGACCTGGTGTTAGTGAAACTATACGTGACGAGAGTGGACAGCCTATCCACAATTTGTCAAAACGTTTGGAGCGTTGGACTGAGCATTTTGAAAAGCAATTTAATCGGCTAGAATTGTTCGATTCTTCGCCGGCCAATGATCGCCCTGCTCCGTGGGCTGTCCCTTTGGATTCACCCTCTCGCTCAGAAGTCAAACGTACGATCGGACTGTTGAATTTTAATAAAGCCGCGAGACCAGATGATGTTCCTCCATCCCTCCTCAAATTCGGGGGCTCTGCGCTTGTTGATGCTTTACATGAATTACTAGTGAAACTGTGAGAGCAGCAGACTGTACCAAGTGACTGGAGCCGCTCCGTTATTGTTCCCATCTTCAAAGGAGGCTCACATCCGGAATGCGGCAACCATAAAGGAATCAGTCTGATCTCCATCGCCTCCATAATTCTTCACAGACTGACTGGCGCTCGCGAAAGCCAGATTCGTGAGGAGCAAGCCGGGTTTCGTCGGGGTCGTGGCTGCATCGACCACATCTTCACCTTGCGTCAGTTGTTGGAGCACCGTCACACATATTGGTGGCCCACCGTAGTCGTGTTTCTCGACATCAAAGATGCCTTCTATTCGGTTGATCGATGTGCCCTTTGGAATTGTCTACTCAAGAAAGGTGTGCCCGAGAAATATATAAGTATTATCCGAGCATTATACGCGCGTAGCACGGGCAGAGTGAGGGCTTACGGCAAGCTGTCGCCACCGTTCAATATCTCCAGCGGTGTGAGACAAGGATGCCCGCTGTCACCTTTCCTCTTCAACTTCGCTATTGACGAAGTCATGGAGATCGCATTTACAGGTCATGAGTTGGAAGGTGTGGAGCTACTCCCAGGAGAACGACTTCTCGACTTGGAGTATGCAGACGACATTGCGCTCATCTGCGACAGCTCCCAGACGTGCCAAGCCGCGCTGGACAGATTAGCACTGGCTGTCAGCCGCTTCGGGCTTTGCTTTGTACCATCGAAATGCAAAGCGTTCCTCCAAGATTGGTAGGGATCGCCTCCTGCGCTGACCCTTGGTGGAGATCAGCTAGAAGTCATTCAAAAATTCAACTACCTGGGAAGTTGTATCTGCGCCCTTGGGATCGAAGAGGAGATCACGAACCGTACAGCAAAAGCTCGAAGTGCTTTTGCTAACCTTCGCCACCTATGGCGGCGGCGCGACATTACTCTCGCCCTGAAGGGTAGAGTGTACAATGCAGCGGTACGTTCGACCTTACTGTACGGTTGCGAAACCTGGCCCCTAAGGTCGGCGGACATGAAGAGGCTAGTTACTTTCGACCATCGGTGCTTTCGCAGTTCGACTCACATCTGGTGGGAACACCGCGTGAGTAACGAGCGTGTTCGACGCCTTGCTTACGGCAGAGGAAAAGGAACTGAACCGCTCAGCACCGTTATTTCACGCACCAGGCTCCGATGGCTTGGCCACGTGTTGTGCATGTCAGCTCCCCGACTTCCGCGACGTGTGTTGTTTGCCCACCGGGGGTGTGGATGGAAGAAGAGGAGGGGTGGCCAAGCGATGAATTGGTCCAGAGGAATAAAGGGCCTCACTTCGGAGCTGGCCTCGGTTGGAGCGCCACGGCTCCCTGATTGGGGTCCAAAAGACGGTGAACGCGTTTGGCTGGATACACTTGCTGACGTAGCAAGGAGCCGACCTCAGTGGCGTTCGTGCTGTGAGTTTCTTTGTCCTTCCCCATACCTTTTAGCCTCTCCCTCGACGAACAATCTCATTTCGTAACGTAAGACATAATAATTTTTCTGTTTGTTTGGTAGCCGGCTGGTAGCTTACCGGAACGATGCCTATCCGTTGCTGGTAGCTTAGCTGGCATGCAACTGTTGTATTTATTTTCCTTTTCCTTTATGTATTGCGGCACGGTAGCTGAGGTGTTTCCCACCTCTAGCTGGCGTGTATAATGATGATTATTAATAAGAAGACATTTCTATCACCGTGTTGGCACTGCGGTGAATGGCACTTCGTTCTCTGTGGCTCGTCCAGACGCCACCAATGTCAGTGGTGTGATAAAGTTGGCCACATAGACGGATTTTTTCAGACCCGGGCCAGTTTCATGCAGCCGGTGAAACCGAAGGAGCCATCAAGACGTCCTACTCGAGCCGTTCATTTTCGTAGCCTTCTAGCTATATTCAAATTGGATGTTGCTTCTCGCAGGAAATTTTTTCTGTAAAAATCAACGAATATCCTGCCAAGCTTCAGCTTGACACTGTATCCGACATCACCATATTTCTAAGGAGCTGTGGAGTTTTATAGGTAGCGCACATTTCCAAGCTACCTCTCAAGAAGCAACCAGTGGTTGTGGTGGTTCGGTTCGACTTACCGGTCCGCTTTCTTGTTCCGTCACCTACAGTGACCCTACAATCAGTAATATTTGTTCTATTTCAGACTCCAATCGCAACCTTCTTGGTCTGGATTGGATTGACAAGCTAGGTCTTCCCGTTCCCACACTAAACACTGTCTGCCGCCGACTTCAAGCCCCATTGGCAAAGTCCATTGGCCATGATTTCCCCACGGTCTTTTGCGACGGTCTTAGTTGTGCACACAGACTCAAGCAACTCTCCGGTTAAAGCCTGGTTGGTTTCGTCGTTTCAACCAAAGCGTCCAGTACCCTATGCTACGCTCCCGTTGGTAGATCAGGAACTACACAACCTCGAAGAATTATGTGTTCTATCCCTATTGTCTTATTCTATATGGGCCGGCGCCAATGGTGGTTGTTTAAAAGGCAAATGGTTCAATTCGCACGTGTGCTGATT